AACATGCTCTTTTCATGCCAAATACTTATTGGAACATTTTAACTGTATAAAATAGTTTGAATGGCTATGGTAAATTTAAAATATGACATCAAAAGAGGGTCAACTTTCCATGGTTATGGGGTTAAAATGCCATTTGATATCAAATATTCAAAGATGTTTATTCATTAAAAATACGTATTGGATCATCATAAAAAAATAAAATAGTTTGAATGAATGAGATGATTTGCAAATCTGAGATCTATAGAGTCAATTGTATTTTAGACCCCGCACCAACCATTGGAAATTGACTTCCTCTCCCAGTATGTTAGGATTGCGTTCTAATTACTTAAACTATTAATAATGCTTCAAAAAATATCAGGATGGAAGAAAATATATTGGAAAAGATTTTATAACACTTTTTCTTAGACATGGTATTTTGACTGCCCCCTCTTTCACACATACACGCCATGGAAAATTTAACCCCTCTCCTAATAGGCCAGATTTTAAATTATAATAAGGTTTAAATTACTGTAAGTAGTAATACTCAGTCTGCCTCAATAGTACAAAATGTACATTGGAAAGATTTTAGACGGTGTTTTGAACTCCCGTTTGTTGAAAATTGAACCCTCTTTAGATATCAGAATTTTAGGATATCAAAGCCTTTAAATCATAATGTTTCATGAAGTATCTGGAAGGAAAAAAACAATGTTCGAGAAGGTTTTATAACACTGTTTGAGCCATGGTAATACGGTCCCATATCATAGGAAGTTGACAAACACCCCAACACCACCCCTCCTCGCTCCCTACTTTCAGATGTCAGATTTTTAATTTACAAAAACATTTTAACTGCTTATGACATCCATAATGTTTCGATAAGTACCTGGACTGAATTTACAGGGGAGGTCAATTTTCCATGGGGTTTCAATTTTGAATAAAAGGGGGAGGGGTCAATTATCCATGGAATTCAGAAACCACTCTGTGAGACAACAGTGATATCTATTTTCTTTTTACAGTATATTGGGATAATTTAACAGCTATTAAATTTTACAATTGTAGAAATTTACCTTATTGTCTCTATATTTCCATGAGATAATTCCACCTCGAAAATGAGATCCCTCTGTAATATTAATTTTAATTAATATTATTACCGTGAAAATGGTGCTTTTAAAATTCATTTTATTAACCAAAAAAAAAAACGAACCAACACTAGGAAGATGCAGGTATAATAAGTCTGGTAACTAAGAAAATAATTTAAGGTCCGGGTGATTTTACGTGTATTGAATTCATGTATTTTTACTTTTCAAAGACCCCTTTATTCAATCTCAGAATATTTCTGTCCATATCCTGCTCACAGGGACTCGGTAAGCGGATATAGACATAATAATCGTTTGTTTTTTTCTACTTGTCCGTGAAAGACCTTTTGATTTAAGAATAGTTTAGACCCAGCGATCTTGAGGCTAGATATGAGAGTTATTTCACTTAATGTAATGTATTCAATTGTAATTGTAACTCAAAAGCCATAAGTTATAAAGTCCTATGGTCTTTTGATTGGATGTTTACAAGCTTTAGAGCTTTTGAAAACTCTTTTGCTAACAAACCATAATCACAACTCTTATAAAATTGCTTCAAATAAGGTAGCGTTAAACTTTTGATAACAACTGGTTATTCTTTAAAGTCATACGTAACGAGTTTTTTTGTAATTTTAATGCTATTGAAATTATTGAACCAATGCATGCATATATACTTAACTAAGTCCTGTTTGTACGGTTTTTTTTAATATTTTTTACGAATCTGTAACTTATTATCGACAAATACTATTTCATTCATTTTGATAAACAATCAACACAGAGCATGTGAAGAACCTGACAAAAAAGTGAACTGATAGAGCCATTTGTTAATTAAACTTTTCATCAACAGTTATATGATTTGTTGTATTAAATTTGTTCTTTAACAATCATTTATTTCTATTTACCTTCCAGTGCACGTTTGTTTAATTCTTTCATCACGGTTTTTCCCGAACATTTGGCAATGCGCTGTGTGGTGCAAAAGTTCTTATGAGAGGTCTGGTAGTTAAGGTCACTGCATACGGGAAAAATATTGACTAATTATTGTACGAGAAGACAATAATTCAATAGAAGTACATTTATGACGATTTTGATAATATAAAGGATTTTCTTTTAAAAGAAACTTCATGATCACTTGTTTTAAAGTAAAACTTAGCCATTCAAGTAAATAAAACATATTCAACTTTTTTTTTAAATTTTAAATTTCATATTACTTTAATACTGTATTAAGATCTTTGCATATGGTCTTAATCGGTACTAGCATTGATTTTGCTTTTCATGAATTAAAATATAACTTTGTATGTCACAATTGCTATACAGTTAAGAACATTTATTGTCCTACATCCTATGTTGTGCTGTTAAACCACTACCCCTGGTTAGATGGAGACTTAATAGCTAAACATGTAAGCCCCGCCACATTCTTTACATATCTGTCTCTAGTCAGGAGCCTGCTACTTAGTGGTTGTCATTAGTTGCTCTCTGCTGTACTTCTTTCTCTTTTATTATTTAGCTTAAATCAGTATGCAAGTTTTTCGTTTGAATTGTTTCACATTAGTTGTCTCGTTGGTAATCATACAATCACCTTATTTTTATATAATTTATCGAATTTAAATTCGATTGCCGTTCTAGTGATTTTTTTTTTAATTTAAACAATTTAAACTAGAAATAGATATTTGCAATGTCTGTTGAAAAATTGGCATCAAATGAAAAACTCTTTGAAAGACCTGGTTTTAATCTGTTCAGTGATTCTAAAGGATGATGAAATTATGAACTGTTGACAGACAGATGAGGAACAACAAGTGGTGGCTATAGCTAACACAGTCTTAGATTTTATTGTGCATAATATGAGTTTCTGGAATACTCTTCAGTAGGTAGATCCAAAACCAAAAGTTTGAAAAGCCAAAATTATAAAATGTTTGGGAGCAGTAAAACCTAAGAGGCATACATAAATTTGAGACTACCAAAACTGTATAAGACAAAACTTGCAAGAAGGAAATGCAACCTTGGCTTTAGCACAAATACATAGTTTTATATCCTGATTTTAGAATGTTTGTCATTGTAATCATGCCTGTCCTTAAGCATTATGTTTTATAGTGTTAGACCATTTTTGTTTATACATTCTATCTTTCTATAATGAAAGTTGTTTTAAGACCTTTTCTAATATTTCATCTTCTTGAGTCAAAAACTTTTTAAAATCACAACTTCTTTAAGTCAATAACAAACTTATCAATCACAAAAAGGGGTTGAAAACAACAGAGACAAATAGTTGGATGAAACAAGTGATACCAACACAATACATACACAACTCTACAGTATAAAATAAAAGAAGAATGTGTCTGTGGACAGGAATGCACCCAGTCAAGTTTTGCAATTTTCCATGTTAAAAAGGGGCAAAGCTCTAGAACGGTAAATGACTTACTGCCCACATTCCAACTCTGTCTGCGTGTTGTGGTTCTTAAAATTGTGTATAAGTTTCATAAAATTTGGATGAGGAAAACTTAGGTTGGAATGTGGAAACGAAAATGAGATGGACAGTCAAGGGTAACACTTAATGCACATATTGCCTATGGCAGGGGCATAAAAAACCCTAAAGGCTTGATTTGACTATGAACCAGTAGAAGTCATACATATAGACAAAAATATTCTCAGCACTATCAGATGTATTAACAACAGAAATTCTGACTGTGTCTCATTCAATAAAAGCATAAATTCAAATTAATCACATATATATGATTTATTGCAAATAAAATTAATAGATACATAAATTGATAAAAATATATATTTGAAAGACAATGGGTGTAGAACATGGCAACAAGAACCAAATATTTGTACATTTTTATATTGTATACAAACACAAGTCATTCATAAAGCAGAATAATTAACAGAAATATCCATTTTCACTTTGATTGCTGAAACATTTTTTTCTTTGCAATGCAATACTTCAATATATAAAACATATAACATATTACAATTATAGACATCAATTATTCATTTACTATGTATATTTAAGCTTTCTTGCAATTTACTATTAAGCTATCCTCAAAAGTTGATGAATGTGCATTACCTTAACAAAATGTACTTTATTGACATCTTTGTATGTTCCATTAAAATCCTCCTAAAACATCAATTATACTGAGAACTGAAAGATATTCTGTCCAGTAAAGTAAACTTAATGTAGGTCAAAGTTTTCACTTACCAGTCTAATCAGATTCTGCTTTTCTTTTTTTTTGTTTGCTTTAGATACTTCATTTTAATGCTTATATAAACAGTTTATTAAAAAGGATTATAGTTTCACTGCAAACATTTAAATAACATAGCCTAGAAAAAAGTGCTATTACTGGAAAAAACACTAAAATAATTTCTTTGGAATATAAATTCCCTTTCAGAGGTTTCAAAATGTTCATATCACCTATAAGGGTGCCATGAGTTGATTTGGAGGTGCAACTTGCAGAAACAAGGTAGTTAATACTGAAAGTTCAGAAATGTTTGCATGCATTTATTATTTGATTTTTGTACAATAGGTAGACAAAAATATGAGATTAATAATTGCAATTTCAGGAAATACTGCATACAAATAGTGCTTTCAAAATCGAAAATGTGTAAAATGAGTTTAAATTTATGTGAATCCAATCTTTCGCAATTTGAACAATGTTAAAGATGTTGTATAGAAAAAAGTAAGATAACAAAAATACAGAACTCTGAGTAAATTTAAAAAGGAAAGTCCCAGACTGCTGAACTTGAAGTAGGTATAAATTTCTAATCATCAAATAAATGATTAAAGTAATCAACTAATAGTTAATAGTACAATAATTTTTTTTAGCACCAATATAAAAATAAACATATTGGCATAAATGTCATATAACTTACAAACTTTTACATAAAATTGTAAAAATCTTTAGTTAATAAAACAGTGCAAAATAGTTAAAATTTGCATTTCAAATAGTACATGTTGTGCATTATAAATGAAGGACAAGGCTCTTTTAAAACAAGAAAGAATTAAAAACAAATGGTTATCTGTAAAATGATTAATTCTTAATCTTAAGAGCACTCATAGATGCCTTCCCCATAAACATATCCATTTGGAAAAAATAACCCTAAAAAGTTTTGATTTTGATTAAAAAACCATCAGTATTGTTTACACATTTAACAAAATGGCGAATAAAAACTGTAGGACCTTCAAATAACAAGAATTGATTGTTGCTGCTATTTTCATTTCTTATAGTTAGTCTGAATGAACCATTAAATTATAAAATGTCCTAAATATGGCATATAAAAAACTAATGAAGGTTTAAATGTCAGGATGTAGGACAAAAGTTCACCTGAAGCAATATTTGAATTATTTTAGAGAGCCATGTGCTTTCAAACTAAGGTCAAGGTCACATGAAAAGTGTCAGGCCTCATGTTTATATAAATGTAGTATACAACATATCTCATGCCTATCATGTATAATTTCTTTAGTTTTCCATGTAGATTTTAAGACTGTTGTTTGTTTTTTTGTTGTTTTATTGTCATGGTATTGTTGCTTCTTCTAGGACTAAAGATTTTTTACCACCCCTTTGGTATCTTTTGCCTCTCTTTTTTTCTGAGATACAGATCTAATTCAAAACCTCTGACCAGTGGAGCATAAAAATGATGTTAAAGCCATATGTCATAAATCAGACCAACATACACAAATCAAATCAAATCTAAACACTAAATATATTTAGATATAGTTAACGTTTACCAGACCAATCAAGCATGAAAATGAGGTCTACATTATGTTATGTATGTTGGATGGATGACTACTGCTCACAACCAATCTGCACACTAAATATTGTTGATTTTTCATGTATAACTACTAAGGAACAGACCTAATTCAGAAACTTAAATGATCACTGGAGCATGATAATTAGGTCAAGACAATATGGCATATATCCCACAAATATATATTCCTTGAAAGACACTATACAAAAAATTTCTTAAAATTTACTGAGGAACTGACCTATTCCTAACCTGACCACTGTAATATAATACTGTAATGATGATTGAGATAGGATGATTGTGTGGACAGGTTTTCATCATCATTAACTTCCATGCAAATTAGTGTAATTACTATGATGAGTGTGTCTAAGATGCTGTATACCATTTTATCAATCCTCACTTTAAAAGTAAATATTTTCTTGCATACCCAAACTTTTTTTGTAGGTGAGACAAAAAGCAACCTAATGGAGGTTTTTATTTTATGATGACTTGACCCCACTCATCAAACACCCAGATATGCCATGAACTGATAGTTGACTAGAATACCACAGATATACTATCATATAGTAATTCTTCATATAATTACTTTTTTTACCGTTCAAGTACTTAAAGACAGTAAACAGTATATATTCTGTACTTTTTTTTTTATGTAAGAGAAGTTCCTGGAATAATGATTATGTAATAGAAATTCCAGGAATAATTTGTATGTAAGAGAAGTTCCTGGAATAATAATTATGTAATGGAAATTCCAGGAATGATTTTTATATTAGAGAAGTTCCTTGGATAATGATGATATATATGTAACAGAATTTCCAGGAATAATAATTGTATAAGAGAAGTTCCTGGAATATTTGTTATGTAACAGAATAGCCCCAGGAATATTTATTTTAACAGATATTCAAAAATTTATTTTGTAAGGAATTTCCTTTTAAAGTTTGGAGAAACAAAACATTTTACGTTCAAAAACTATATGCAATAAATGCTTATAAATGATTGCTTCTAACCTTCATTTATGAAAAATATCATGCATGTATAAAACTACATGTACAGGTGATTAATTTTTAAAATGCACTCAGGTGTAAACAATCACATGATCCTTTATTATATAGGAGTTGCGTTATATATTTATTTAAAAAAAATATATATAAAATGTTATCAATCTCATTACATCTGGAAAAAAATAATGCTATATGTAGTAAACAAATTGGATTTAAGAAAAAATGTAGAACTGGTTAACATGGTTTAACTCTGAAATGTCTTATCGACAAGAACCTTCAAGTTGTCCAAATTATTGCATGTTTGCTTTATAGATTTTATAAAAGCTTTTGAAAGAGTCAATATTGAAGCTTTGTTATATAAACTATTTTACTATGCTATATTATGTTTTACTGAAATTGCAAAAACTTTGTTGTTGGTGTTTTCGTTTTATAAAAATGCAGTCTCGACGATTGTATTTATTTGTTTGTTTTATAATTTGGTATAGATATATATATCTTTGGTGTATGTTTACAAAATTTAGGATGCTGGATCGCAATTATTGTCATATTAATCAATTATTTCTGTTTGGATTACTCACTATTTTAGAATATAAAGGAACTAAAGTCAAGTGTCATACAAGTGGAAAGTTTAGCTACCTGTAAAACCAGACTTTATCCAACATTTTCTTCGGGAAATGCCTGAAGAAAATGAGGAATATCATTGTTGTAACGTTGGTTTTTTTTAATTTACCTTGGCGAAAGATACAGTTATAACTAGTAACTAGGAAAAATAATTGAAGGTCCGGGTGACTTGACGTGTATTGAGGTCTTGTATTGTTACTTTTGAAAAGACTTTACTGAAACGGCTACTCCTTTTATATTCAAATCGGCACATTCCTTTCCATACCATGCATATCATCCAGTTAGCGGATATATAAAACAAATCATAAGGTCTTTCCAATTTTTGAAACTTATTCCTGATTAACCAAACACATCCCTTTGTAAGAAGTATCTCCTTTGACACTGTTGTTATCTTGTTATCGCTACTCCATCGCAACAACAAGAGAAACCAACAATTTGTTTTTCCAAATTGCCTTTAATATCTTCAGGATATTGAGAATAATTTTGACCGAAGCAATCTGGAGACTCCATATGAGAGTTTTTTCTCTTAAGTGAAATATAATTGTTACTTTCAAACCATACGTTATATGGTCATATGGGTTTTTTTTTTTATTTTAGGTCCTAGGTCCAACAAACAGAAAATGATTGTTGATTGATAGTTTGTTGGTTGCGTAACGTCCAGTGGCAAACACGTATTGCATGTTCAGGACGAGAACAAATTAACAATAAATTCTGTAAAAGAGGCTGTGTGGGATGAAGGTCGGGGAAATTTGGACTGCCACTGGAACATTAAGGTACTAGTATATTGCTTAGGGACAGAAATTTTGCCTTACAACAAGCAACTCACGATTCCCTAAAAGAGTTGTATCGATGGTTCTTAACATGTATAGAGCGTGGCAATCTCTTACACGCGGTATCGGACAGATGGTGGATGCGAACTTGTACATCCGGCACAGCCAAACGGACGCCCCATTTTGGCATCTGGTGCAATGAAATTAGTACTGTTTATGTTATTTTCTACTGCCGGTCGGAAGAAAGTAATAGAGGCAATATTTATATTCCCCATTCACCATTGTGGGGTAACAGAAAATGAGATCAAGATCACAGGTCATTATATTTATTGGAGCATTATCACAATATGAAATAGTTTGAATAGCTATGAGGATTTGAAGATCTGAGTTCTATAGAAAGGTTGAATTTTTTATGGTTGAGTAAAAAGGTTAAAATATCTTCAACATATCGTATTCATTCTAAATACTGATAGGGGCATTATTACTTGTATGAAGTAGTTTGAATAGCTATGACAATTTGAAAATCTAAGCTCTCTAAGTTCAATTTTCCATGATATGCAGGTAAAAATACCATAGCTAAGTGAAGTCGTTAAAACATCTTTTCCAACATGTTTTACTAGTATTCATAAACATACTAACTAAAACATCATTACTATATAAGATAGGTTCAATGGATATGATGATTTGAAAATCTGGGGTCTATAGAGGGTTACAGTTTCTAAGGATGAGAGGTTAAAATACCATGGCTAAGTTAAAATGCTAAAACATCTTTTCCAGCATGCTTTATTGATACCAAATACGCATTGTTACTATATAAATAAGATTGATTAGCTTTGTTGATTTAAAGATATGGTATCTATAAGGTTTTTTCAATTTCCATGGTAGGGAGGTCACAATACCATTGTTAAGTAATAATGTTAAAATATCTTTCCAACATGCTCTTTTCATGCCAAATACTTATTGGAACATTTTAACTGTATAAAATAGTTTGAATGGCTATGGTAAATTTAAAATATGACATCAAAAGAGGGTCAACTTTCCATGGTTATGGGGTTAAAATGCCATTTGATATCAAATATTCAAAGATGTTTATTCATTCAAAATACGTATTGGATCATCATAAATGAATAAAATAGTTTGAATGAATGAGATGATTTGCAAATCTGAGATCTATAGAGTCAATTGTATTTTAGACCCCGCACCAACCATTGGAAATTGACTTCCTCTCCCAGTATGTTAGGATTGCGTTCTAATTACTTAAACTAGTAATAATGCTTCAAAAAGTATCAGGATGGAAAAAATATATTGGAAAAGATTTTATAACACTTTTTCTTAGACATGGTATTTTGACTGCCCGCTCTTTCATACATACACGCCATGGAAAATTTAACCCCTCTCCTGATAGGCCAGATTTTAAATTATAATAAGGTTTAAATTACTGTAAGTAGTAATACTCAGTCTGCCTCAATAGTACAAAATGTACATTGGAAAGATTTTAGACGGTGTTTTGAACTCCCGTTTGTGGAAAATTGAACCCTCTTTAGATATCAGAATTTTAGGATATCAAAGCCTTTAAATCATAATGTTTCATGAAGTATCTGGAAGGAAAAAAACAATGTTCGAGAAGGTTTTATAACACTGTTTGAGCCATGGTAATATGGTCCCATATCATAGGAAGTTGACAAACACCCCAACACCACCCCTCCTCGCTCCCTACTTTCAGATGTCAGATTTTTAATTTACAAAAACATTTTAACTGCTTATGACATCCATAATGTTTCGATAAGTACCTGGACTGAATTTACAGGGGAGGTCAATTTTCCATGGGGTTTCAATTTTGAATAAAAGGGGGAGGGGTCAATTATCCATGGAATTCAGAAACCACTCTGTGAGACAACAGTGATATCTGTTTTCTTTTTACATTATATTGGGATAATTTAACAGCTATTAAATTTTACAATTGTAGAAATTTACCTTATTGTCTCTATATTTCCATGAGATAATTCCACCTCGAAAATGAGATCCCTCTGTAATATTAATTTTAATTAATATTATTACCGTGAAAATGGTGCTTTTAAAATTCATTTTATTAACCAAAAAAAAAAACGAACCAACACTAGGAAGATGCAGGTATAATAAGTCTGGTAACTAAGAAAATAATTTAAGGTCCGGATGATTTTACGTGTATTGAATTCATGTATTTTTACTTTTCAAAGACCCCTTTATTCAATCTCAGAATATTTCTGTCCATATCCTGCTCACAGGGACTCGGTAAGCGGATATAGACATAATAATCGTTAGTTTTTTTCTACTTGTCCGTGAAAGACCTTTTGATTTAAGAATAGTTTAGACCCAGCGATCTTGAGGCTAGATATGAGAGTTATTTCACTTAATGTAATGTATTCAATTGTAATTGTAACTCAAAAGCCATAAGTTATAAAGTCCTATGGTCTTTTGATTGGATGTTTACAAGCTTTAGAGCTTTTTAAAACTCTTTTGTGAACAAACCATAATCACAACTCTTATAAAATTGCTTCAAATAAGGTAGCGTTTAACTTTTGATAACAACTGGTTATTCTTTAAAGTCATACGTAACGAGTTTTTTTGTAATTTTAATGCTATTGAAATTATTGAACCAATGCATGCATATATACTTAACTAAGTCCTGTTTGTACGTTTTTTTTAATATTTTTTACGAATCTGTAACTTATTATCGACAAATACTATTTCATTCATTTTGATAAACAATCAACACAGAGCATGTGAAGAACCTGACAAAAAAGTGAACTGATAGAGCCATTTGTTAATTAAACTTTTCATCAACAGTTATATGATTTGTTGTATTAAATTTGTTCTTTAACAATCATTTATTTCTATTTACCTTCCAGTGCACGTTTGTTTAATTCTTTCATCACGGTTTTTCCCGAACATTTGGCAATGCGCTGTGTGGTGCAAAAGTTCTTATGAGAGGTCTGGTAGTTAAGGTCACTGCATACGGGAAAAATATTGACTAATTATTGTACGAGAAGACAATAATTCAATAGAAGTACATTTATGACGATTTTGATAATATAAAGGATTTTCTTTTACAAGAAACTTCATGATCACTTGTTTTAAAGTAAAACTTAGCCATTCAAGTAAATAAAACATATTCAACTTTTTTTTTAAATTTTAAATTTCATATTACTTTAATACTGTATTAAGATCTTTGCATATGGTCTTAATCGGTACTAGCATTGATTTTGCTTTTCATGAATTAAAATATAACTTTGTATGTCACAATTGCTATACAGTTAAGAACATTTATTGTCCTACATCCTATGTTGTGCTGTTAAACCACTACCCCTGGTTAGATGGAGACTTAATAGCTAAACATGTAAGCCCCGCCACATTCTTTACATATCTGTCTCTAGTCAGGAGCCTGCTACTTAGTGGTTGTCATTAGTTGCTCTCTGCTGTACTTCTTTCTCTTTTATTATTTAGCTTAAATCAGTATGCAAGTTTTTCGTTTGAATTGTTTCACATTAGTTGTCTCGTTGGTAATCATACAATCACCTTATTTTTATATAATTTATCGAATTTAAATTCGATTGCCGTTCTAGTGATTTTTTTTTTAATTTAAACAATTTAAACTAGAAATAGATATTTGCAATGTCTGTTGAAAAATTGGCATCAAATGAAAAACTCTTTGAAAGACCTGGTTTTAATCTGTTCAGTGATTCTAAAGGATGATGAAATTATGAACTGTTGACAGACAGATGAGGAACAACAAGTGGTGGCTATAGCTAACACAGTCTTAGATTTTATTGTGCATAATATGAGTTTCTGGAATACTCTTCAGTAGGTAGATCCAAAACCAAAAGTTTGAAAAGCCAAAATTATAAAATGTTTGGGAGCAGTAAAACCTAAGAGGCATACATAAATTTGAGACTACAAAAACTGTATAAGACAAAACTTGCAAGAAGGAAATGCAACCTTGGCTTTAGCACAAATACATAGTTTTATATCCTGATTTTAGAATGTTTGTCATTGTAATCATGCCTGTCCTTAAGCATTATGTTTTATAGTGTTAGACCATTTTTGTTTATACATTCTATCTTTCTATAATGAAAGTTGTTTTAAGACCTTTTCTAATATTTCATCTTCTTGAGTCAAAACTTTTTAAAATCACAACTTCTTTAAGTCAATAACAAACTTATCAATCACAAAAAGGGGTTGAAAACAACAGAGACAAATAGTTGGATGAAACAAGTGATACCAACACAATACATACACAACTCTACAGTATAAAATAAAAGAAGAATGTGTCTGTGGACAGGAATGCACCCAGTCAAGTTTTGCAATTTTCCATGTTAAAAAGGGGCAAAGCTCTAGAACGGTAAATGACTTACTGCCCACATTCCAACTCTGTCTGCGTGTTGTGGTTCTTAAAATTGTGTATAAGTTTCATAAAATTTGGATGAGGAAAACTTAGGTTGGAATGTGGAAACGAAAATGAGATGGACAGTCAAGGGTAACACTTAATGCACATATTGCCTATGGCAGGGGCATAAAAAACCCTAAAGGCTTGATTTGACTATGAACCAGTAGAAGTCATACATATAGACAAAAATATTCTCAGCACTATCAGATGTATTAACAACAGAAATTCTGACTGTGTCTCATTCAATAAAAGCATAAATTCAAATTAATCACATATATATGATTTATTGCAAATAAAATTAATAGATACATAAATTGATAAAAATATATATTTGAAAGACAATGGGTGTAGAACATGGCAACAAGAACCAAATATTTGTACATTTTTATATTGTATACAAACACAAGTCATTCATAAAGCAGAATAATTAACAGAAATATCCATTTTCACTTTGATTGCTGAAACATTTTTTTTTTTGCAATGCAATACTTCAATATATAAAACATATAACATATTACAATTATAGACATCAATTATTCATTTACTATGTATATTTAAGCTTTCTTGCAATTTACTATTAAGCTATCCTCAAAAGTTGATGAATGTGCATTACCTTAACAAAATGTACTTTATTGACATCTTTGTATGTTCTATTAAAATCCTCCTAAAACATCAATTATACTGAGAACTGAAAGATATTCTGTCCAGTAAAGTAAACTTAATGTAGGTCAAAGTTTTCACTTACCAGTCTAATCAGATTCTGCTTTTCTTTTTTTTGTTTGCTTTAGATACTTCATTTTAATGCTTATATAAACAGTTTATTAAAAAGGATTATAGTTTCACTGCAAACATTTAAATAACATAGCCTAGAAAAAAGTGCTATTACTGGAAAAAACACTAAAATAATTTCTTTGGAATATAAATTCCCTTTCAGAGGTTTCAAAATGTTCATATCACCTATAAGGGTGCCATGAGTTGATTTGGAGGTGCAACTTGCAGAAATCAAGGTAGTTAATACTGAAAGTTCAGAAATGTTTGCATGCATTTATTATTTGATTTTTGTACAATAGGTAGACAAAAATATGAGATTAATAATTGCAATTTCAGGAAATACTGCATACAAATAGTGCTTTCAAAATCGAAAATGTGTAAAATGAGTTTAAATTTATGTGAATCCAATCTTTCGCAATTTGAACAATGTTAAAGATGTTGTATAGAAAAAAGTAAGATAACAAAAATACAGAACTCTGAGTAAATTTAAAAAGGAAAGTCCCAGACTGCTGAACTTGAAGTAGGTATAAATTTCTAATCATCAAATAAATGATTAAAGTAATCAACTAATAGTTAATAGTACAATAAAAATTTTTAGCACCAATAAAAATAACCAGATGTGCATAAATGTCATATAACTTACAAACTTTTACATAAAATTGTAAATATCTTTAATTAATAAAACAGTGCAAAATAGTTAAAATTTGCATTTCAAATATTACATTTTGTGCATTATAAATGAAGGACAAAGCACTTTTAAAACAAGAAAGAATTAAAAACAAATGGTTATCTGTAAAATGATTAATTCTTAATCTAAAGAGCACTCATAGATGCCTTCCCCATAAACATATCCATTTGGGAAAAATAACCCTAAAAATTTTTGATTTTGATTAATAAACCATCAGTATTGTTTATACATTTAACAAAATGGCAAATAAAAACTGTAGGACCTTTAAATAACAAGAATTGATTGTTGCTGCTATTTTCTTTTCTTATAGTTAGTCTGAATGAACCATTAAATTATAAAAATGTCCTATATATGGCATATAAAAAACTAATGAAGGTTTAAATGTCAGTATGTAGGATAAAAGTTCACCTGAAGCAATATTTGAATTATTTTAGAGAGCCATGTGCTTTCAAACTTAGGTCAAGGTCACATGAAAAGTGTCAGGCCTTATGTTCATGTAAATGTAGTATACAAAATATTTCATGCCTATCATGTATAATTTCTTTAGTTTTCTATGTAGATTTTAAGACTGTTGTTTGTTTTTTTGTTGTTTTATTGTCATGGTATTGTTACTTCTTCTAGGACTAAGATTTTTTACCGCCCCTTTGGTATCTTTTGCCTCTTTTTTTTCCGAGATATAGATCTAATTCAAAACCTTTAACCTGACCTGTGGAGCATAAAAATGATGTTAAAGCCATATGTCATAAATCAGACCAACATACACAAATCAAATCAAATCTAAACACTAAATATATTTAAATAAAGTTAAAGTTTACCAGACCAATCAAGCATGAAAATGAGGTCGAGGTTATGTTATGTATGTTGGATGGATGACTACTGCTCACAACCAATCTGCACACTAAATATTGTTGATTTTTCATGTATAACTACTAAGGAACAGACCTAATTCAGAAACTTAAATGATCACTGGAGCATGATAATTAGGTCAAGACAATATGGCATATATCCCACAAATATATATTCCTTGAAAGCCACTATACAAAAAATTTCTTAAAATTTACTGAGGAACTGACCTATTCCTAACCTGACCACTGTAACATAATACTGTAATGATGATTGAGATAGGATGATTGCTTGGACAGGTTTTCATCATCATTAACTTCCATGCAAATTTGTGTAATTACTATGATGAGTGTGTCTAAGATGCTATATACCATTTTATCAATCCTCACTTTATAAGTAAAAATTTTCTTACATACCCAAATTATTTTTGTAGAAGAGACAAAAAGCAACCTAATGGAGGTTTTTATTTTTTGATGACATGACCCCACTCCTCGAACACCCAAATATGTCATGAACTGATAGTAGACTAGAATACCACAGATATACTATCATATAGTAATTCTTCATATAATTACTTCTTTTACCGTTCAAGTACTTAAAGACAGTAAACAGTTATGGAAATAAATACTCTGTACTTTTTTTTTATGTAAGAGAAGTTCCTGGAATAACAATTATGTAATAGAAATTCCAGGAATAATTTGTATGTAAGAGAAGTTCCTGGAATAATAATTATGTAATAGAAATACCAGGAATAATTTTTATATTAGAGTAGTTCCTTGGATAATGATGATATATATGTAACAGAATTTCCAGGAATAATAATTGTGTAAGAGAAGTTCCTGGAATATTTATTATGTAACAGAATAGCCCGGAATATTTATTTTAACAGATATTCAATGAAAATTTATTTATAAGGAATTTCCTTTTAAAGTTTGGAGAAACAAAACATTTTACGTTCAAAAACTATATGCAATAAATGCTTATAAATGTAAAATTGCTTCTAACCTTCATTTATGAAAAATATCATGCATGTTTAAAACTACATGTACAGGTGATTAATTCTAAAATGCACTCAGGTGTAAACAATCACATGATAAACATGTATCTTTTAAATCACTCTATTGTATTATTTCCAGTCATTCTAGGAACAAATTTGATAGGGCTTTAAGTTCAAGGAATTTATTTTATGAAGAAGGAATAAATATCATGTAATTTTAGTTCTCAGAAACTTTTGTAATATACTCTTTTGTTCCATGTGGAACATATATTATGCGGAACAAATATACAGTCACAAGTACATTCATCAATCATAATGTACTGAAGATTCTCTTTACTTCAAGTCTTGTAATTAACTGTTGCGCTGACATCATTTTGAAGTATTGTTGACTAGAACCAAGTGACTAAGACTTTGAGTACTTTTGCACACCTTTAGTTGAAGTGCTCGTTTCCTTGAGATCATGTGATTAAGTTTTAATGACATTATCCAAGCTATTTATCCTGATTTACTGAAACTGTGCCTTTCATCCAGGATGACGCTGACATATTGCATTTATCATTAACTCTGAGTAGGCAGCATTGATGTCACCTTCAATGTGGTATTGCTTAATTCCCTTTCTATTTGTTGTCGTGGTAACCTAAAAAATTAAAAATATTTTTTTCTAATTTTTTATTAAAGGGAAAATTCGCGATTTTTTACTTATCATCTTATTATGTTCATAATGCCATAAAAAACATATTCACCAAGTTTTATCTGGATATGAACACTAATAAAGAAGAAAATTGGGAATTATTAATTTTATTTATTCGAACTTCCTGACTTCTGTGACGTAGTTTAAGTCTTTTTGCATGCCGGGAGTGGATTAATCTCATTTTAAGTCTTGTTCGTTAATCATCTTATAACGCGATTTAAAGCGCATCGACGACTTTTGGCGTAGCTATTAACCAACTAATAATTCAGAAAGAAAAGTGATCAGCCGTGCAACTTTTAAAATTAAAATGCACTTTTTATATTTTAAGGATTTCTGATATGATTATAGTAATAAAAGTAAATCATACAATAGAATGTTTTTATGATTTTTTTCCCGACGGATATGTTGAACAAACATATATAACTGATAGTGTAATAAAAATGCATGTTTGTATTCTCACCTATTACTTCAGTCGAGGATTTGTCTTACTATACAAATCCTTGCTTCAGTCTAGTACTGTGTAAATACAACGCATGTGTATTATACTGACACCACCTGGTAAAGGCGTGGTTAAATTCACGGTTATTAAAAGATTAGCATTATGTAATTTTAATCTTTTGATCTTCACAAGAGTTTAGTGTGGCCTCAAGGGTTCACCGGTGTAAGTATGAAAAACATGGGGAAAAAAGGATAAAACAGAAGTGCGGGTTTGAGACAGGATATTTTTTTTTATTATTTGGGGAGGAATATGGTGGCAAAATAACTGAATCGCCGTTTTATATTTTTTAATATTTTGCGTTAGCTCAATTTTTTAATAAATAAGTGATCATTTTGTTGTAACATCAAAATTCTGAATTACTTTCAATTAAATAATTTTATAGATAAAAATGGCTCACGAAAACGAGTGTATAAATCAAAACTGTACTATTTAAAATTATCATCGGTAACCTTGAATATTTATTTAAATGTGCAGAGAAAATTATCAGTTACATTAATATAGTTTGGTCCGTCCAAAGCGATCTACATTTACCTAATCGGGAATGCCCTGATTAAAATATTCTAAATCTCACAACGTATAAATTCTTTAGCTATTTGACAAACGATGTTTTAAAAAATTAACAGAATCAATCTAACGTCAACTTTCCTTTTTTGAATGGAGAAAGACCGGCGGAATCAATTTTCAATGTGCTTTATATCTTGTACCTTTGCAAGACTTATCATTCATTCATAAACCCACTCTAAACCAGAGACATATATACGTCTGTTTAAACTGACAAGAAAACTCCTAAAACGGACAAGCAGTATATTCTTTAAATTTCTGTGATTTAATACCAAGAAAGAAAAAAATCCCGAAATTAATTTGATCATACTCAATATTTTTCCTGGAAAATATTCACATCCTCATTCGGTCTGAAAAAAAGATAAGAATTTGGTATACAGAACATGCAGAAGTGTGAATGTCATAAAACCTAATTGTTATATCAGAAACCATTATAAATGTGAACCTGTATACGTAAGACCTCATGGGACGTCACCTAAGATCACCTAACCACATAAAAGTAATATACAAGTAGCTCTGTTATACCCGGAAATGTCAAGGTTAATCACTTCTGATACAGAATATACCAATGCAATGAAAATTCTGATGATTGTGAAGCATGACCATTCATTATTTTAGAGGCGTCTTAGGTGGGGGATTGCCGGAACGATTTAATTTAAATTCTGACTAGATTTTTTTTTTCTCAATTTAAATCACTGAACTAAAAAAAAGAAGAAAACTACGCCCAAGAACAGAATTCTTCTTGTAAATTCATAAATAGACCGTTCTTATTTTGTAACTTTCGATAGACATGAACTCCAACCCCCCCTCCCCAAACCTGGGAACAGTATATCTTACAATGTATATATTCCTGCCAAAATAACAAAAAAGGAGAAAAAGAAAGACATGAACGGTAAATCACATCAGATTCAGATATTTATATAGTTGATTGTCGTTAGCTAGAGATGTATACATGTCTCTGCGTTAACTTATAAAAATAACAGGAAAGTATAAACTTGAAATAGATTTATGATGAATACTTTGCAACTGCGACACCCCTTTTTATCACAGCGTACATGCATGTATTTAAATGACTGTCCGTTATTTCGATTAAGAATGACAATCGTACGTAAAATCCTATAGTTCATGGTGAGACTTTTTGTACCAGATATGCGACTTTTCGTATTTATATTTTCTCTTATATTACTCTCATTTGATATTTTATGCATAAGTGCAATATTGGGAATGGTTTATTACCACCACAAGCTAACTAAATAAATTAATCAACCCTCTAGCTGACCAGACGTTAATACAACTACTATCAGTCTATCCGCAGTGAAGTTTCTTTATTTCTTCAAATAAGCTTTTTGGGTAATCATTAGTGTACGTCCAGTGGCATATATATTACATGCATGTCGGAACAGGAAAATTGACATCAGGTACTTTTAGAACCATGTTCACATTATTATACATTATACCCAACAATTGTGATGATGACGAATTTTTTAAACTGTTCAAAATAATCTTATTGAAAAATAAATCTGTGATTTTACTATGTCCATAACTTCGATGAACCAAAGCAAGTAATATATCGAACTGTATTTAAATCAGATTGGTTCTGGATGTTTCTCTCGTATATTCAATTTACATGTATATACTCTAAATTGCGACTATCTATAGTTCCGTAACCTTCTATCTAGGCGTATAAACCAATGATCGACAAGTGCGTACATTTTGTTAAATCAATATTTGTATGTTTCAAGATGTCCATACTTATTGAAAACGAGTATATACTTACATTTTCCCCCAATTTACCCTTGGAAAATATGTAAATAGATTTTTTATTTTATCAAATCTTTTTTTTGGGAATTATTTAGATTTTCATAAATATCATTCTTTACACCAGAAAGGTTATTTATAAACAAGCGTATGAGTTTAGTAATGACTAGTATATCACTATCGGACACGCAAGACAAAGATGTATATTACACCTGATAGTTTCAAAATGGAAAGTTACAAGTTATCGGCCGTGTACACTGATCAATACCCTCAGAAGTGAAGTGATGCACGAACTTGCTTTACGTAATTGTGTAATAAGAGTTTTAAAGCCCGACAGGAAATCGCTTGAATACCTGGACGTGTCACCTCACAATACCTCTGGGATTTCTTAAGCCATGCTAGTGATCAGACAAGGGAAGGTCTGAATTTATTTAAATACGTTTATTACATGAAAGAATTATGAACAAACTAGATTTTCGAAAACAATTTTACACGGAACACTTATTTATGACTTTGAACTTTGACTATTAACTAATTTCCATTAAAATTTCTTGTTTCAAAAACTTAGATAAAAAAAACAGTTTTAAAACGACAGACCATAGTACTAGTTATTTACAAAAAAAAATATATAATTACATTTTCCGTATCAAGTTAGCTAGGAAAGGTTGCACAACCATGTCTATTATAATCTTTTTTGTGACCCGGGAAACTGTTTATGCTTTCCTTGTCGGATAAAACAACCGTACGCTTAACAAGATATCGACACTCAATTACGGCTAAGTTAGGTTACTGCTTGTTTTGGTACTTTGTGGTTTATAGATATATCGTGGTTTCTATTCAGGGAGGATGTCAAAATGGCCGCATGTGGAGAATTGATACTCTTAAATTTAAAATCGATGGTGATCTCTTATCTAGCAGAATAAAACTTTAATATTTATGAATTTGTGCTTTTTTATACATAACGAACATAATATCAATTTTTCATTTTTTTGCGAAGTTTCCCTTTAAATTCTACTGGTCCAGGACCAGTTACTGTCAGTTACTAGTTTTGGTAACCTAGCATTTTATGCAATAACGGAAGCATTGGCTAATAGGACATACTCTTCTTAACCTCAGACAAATAACATCAGATCAATTGATGTGTAAACAGTTACATTAAATTCAGTCGAGAAAAAGTTAAGTTCTTGTAGACTACATAAAAAAAATAAAACACCAAAAAAAACTCATAAGTCTAAAATAGCACAAGTTAAGTTTGTTGAAATTAAAAAGGAATATAACTGTTCTTGATCATTAAATTATAAATATAAAAAATGAAAATAACTATTTATATATAAAAATGGTGTGCCTGAAGGGTTTTTCTGGATATACAATAAACAGAACACTCAAAACTTTAAATCAAAGGTGTTTAAGTACTTGAATACGTTAGGAGATATATAACCAACAGAGACCTAAAAAAAGAATAGCCAAATTCATAAAGGTCAACTTTGCCAGATTAAGATTAGTTTTTTACTAACTTCTAAATTTACCAATCGAAAATTAAAGAACAGGTATGCTATAAATCATGTCAGTACTGACACATAACCTGACGGACTAGCATTCAATCAAATGTTAATTATATTTTATGAAATGTGAAATGAGTTAAAAAATTACATCTAGAAATGTGTGGCTAGATATACACCATTGGTGTTTTCTGTACAGCTAAATTACAACCAATGGTTTGATCTGAATGACAAGATCAAGATATTCATTTCTTATATTATATATACTATACCTTATGAAAATGACAAGCACATTTTCCTTGTAAGAAATCTTTATATCTAGACATAGTCATATTAAATGTAGGTATAACATGGAATCCATATCTAGAAGCATATCTGCCTACTTCTCTTTCTTGTATCTCTAACTTCTCTTGATGGTACTGCATATAAAAGAACAAATGACATGTGCATCAATAATTCATGGGGTTATCATACAAATTTGCATACACCCAGTTCTAATAAATATTTTATCAAACACATACTTTTCCAATAAAATATAAAGGTATAATGATCAGTTTTAAATTAATTTACAATGTCTCGCCTGCTTTACTGACCATTGATTTCATGTTGAAAGCCTTAAAGATAAAAGTTTTACTATAAGTACCACATAAACTTAACATTTTTAAAGATCTAATGACAATGAGGCCAAGGTCAGATAAAAACTGTCAGACAGACATGTACAACTTATAATTATTCCATTCACCAAAAATAGTTGACCTATTGCTTATGGTAATTGAAAAAACAGACCAAACACCAAAACAAAACATTGACCATTGAACCATGAAAATGAGGTCAAGGTCAGATGATACCTGCCAGACAGACATGTTTACCTTACAATTATTCCATACACCAAATATAATTGACTTATTACTATTAGTATTTGAAAAACTGACCAAAACACAAAACTTAACATTGATCAATGAACTATGAAAATCAGGTCAAAGTCAGATAATACAGGCTAGACAGACATTTACACCTTACAATTATTTCATACACCAAATATAGTTGACCTATTGCTTATAGTACTTGAAAAACAGACCAAAACACAAAAAATTTAACATTCAGCAATGAACCATGAAAATGAGGTCGAGGTCATGAAATCTGCCAGACTGACATGAACCCCTTACAATCATGCTATACACCACATTTAGTTGACCTAATGCTTATAGTACTGTGGATTCATTTATTTTCGTGGGTATCAATTTTCGTGGATAGAGCAAAAAAGGCATTTCGTGGGATACGTAAATTCGTGGTTCGCTGTTTCAAAAATAAAAAAAAAATGTTTCAGATACATAAATTCGTGGATCTCTGTATGAAGAATAGTTAAACAAAAGATAGTAGTTCATTGAACATTTTTTGAATCGTCAAAATCCTCGCTTGGTCATTCTATGTTAAAGTGTTCATTTACAAGCGTGGACAAAGGCAACTAATGATTTGTTTGCTTTACAATTTATAATTTGTCGTTAGAATTTTATAAGGTATACAAAGGCCCTTTGATGTACAACTGATTGAAAGTTATTTTTCCTAATCAAGACATAATAAGAAGTAATTAGAAAATGATCAAAAGTAAGAAACAAGCTAACGAAGTTTGCGATCCAAGCTGGAACCCAAGCCATACAACAATGATAAAATTTACTCCTCTCACGATTTTGTTATATATACTCTGGGGAATATGATTCCCTCATAACAAATAATGTCGCTTCAACAGTGGTTAAAGTCCGGTAGTATGAAGGTGAAAGCTCCTGCCACGCCAGGCTTGCCCGATCCATCTCAATGCAGTACACAACGTGATGTTCTTGTAACCCAAGCAGCCAACGACGGTATTGACACGATGAATTCTGCTACTAGCCTTCCAACTACTCCAACCAGAAAACGCAAACGGGGAGACTACAACTTTTAGGATGACGAGACACGTGCTAAAATTGCCAGATATTCAGTCGAGAATGGCGTTGCTAGAGCTGCACGCAAGTTTTCCAGTGACCTCGGCAAGAAAGTTAGCGAGACGTCTGTTCGTAGCATGAGAGACACCTACCTTAAATTTAAGAAACACAATGCTTAAACGGCATTTTATCAGAATATTATTTGAAAGCAATTTGTAACCTCCGTGCTCTTCCTTTGACCAATTTGTTGAGTAAAATTTTATTTCGTAAAAAATGTCGTTTTTGTCCAGAATAAACTAAAGTACACGCTTAACCGACAATTTCACGGAATATTATTTGAAATGCAATTTGTGTCCTCCCAGCTCCTTCTTAATCCAATTTGTACAGTAAGATTTTATTTTGATAAAATGTTGTTTCTGTCCAGAATAAAGAAACACAATGCTTAAACGGCATTTTATCAGAATATTATTTGAAAGCAATTTGTAATCTCCGTGCTCTTCCTTTGACCAACTTGTTGAGTAAAATTTTATTTCGTAAAAAATGTCGTTTTTGTCCAGAATAAACCAAAGCCACGCTTAAACGACAATTTCACGGAATATTATTTGAAATGCAATTTGTGTCCTCCCAAAATGTTGTTTCTGTCCAGAATAAAGGAACACAATGCTTAAACGGCATTTTATCAGAATATTATTTGAAATGCAAGTTATGTAGTTTTTGTCCAGAATAAACAAAAGTACATCTGCAATTTATTGAAATTTTATCTAAAAAAAAATTATATTCTACCTGTGTTACCTTATTAACGATTGTCTACATATTTGCAAAGTCAAAGGTGTGAATTTTCTTGTTCCTGTCACAAAAATATCACCTAAGGGCAATATCCCGTCCTTAATCCTTTTAATCAGCAATAAAACCAGATTTTGACACGGTTATTAACAACTCATTTACCGTTATTTTCTAATGAATAATTTATATCAATTTAAAACGTAAATTATGAATGATATTTTAAAGGTTTTATTGTTTATTTAAGGAGGTGGAGACATAGAAGTTTTACCAAGATCGCCACGTGGAAATCCTCTCTTACTTGGTCACCTAGATAACGACGTTCAACAATGGATTCTCAACGTGCGTAAGAACGGTGGAGTCATCAACTCACGCATCGTTATGGCAGCAGCTGAGGCCGTTGTGACAAAGTTCGCCAGACACAAGCTGCAAAAGTATGGCGGGCATATCAACATCACAAAGACCTACACTATTTCCGTTCTCCGCCGCATGGGCTTCGTTAAGCATAAGGGAACCAAGGGTGTAAAACATCTACCAGCTGATTTCGACGACATTAAACAGGAGTACGTAAAAAAATTCAGCACAGTCATTAAGCAACACAGCATTCCAGACTCTCTTGTGATTAACTGGGACCAGACCGGGTGTCAGCTGATACCAGGCGGCGACTGGACAATGGAGCAACAGGGCTCCCAACAGGTACCAATCACCGGTATTGATGACAAACGTCAAATAACACTTCTTCTAGCAACATCTATGAACAGGTCTCTATTGCCACCTCAGCTAATCTACCAGGGTAAAACAGACCGTAGTTTACCGAAAGGTGTCGATTTTCCAGACAACTGGGATGTTACAAGTACCGAGACACATTGGAGTAACGAAGACACAATGATCCGTTTTGTAGATAAAGTCATCTTGCCTTACGTAGAGGGTATTATAGAAGATCTTCCTCTTTCTCAGAAAAACCAGAAAGCCGTAGCTATCTTTGGTGTTTACAGAGCCCACACAGGAGAAAAGCTGCTAAGCCACTTAAAGAAAAATGACATCATTCCCTTGTTTGTGCCTGCAGCCTGTACTGACAAACTACAGCCGTTGGACTTATCCGTTAACCGAGAATATAAAGAACAATTAAAATCTAATTTCCATGACTGGTACTCAGCACAAGTAGTGCAACAACTAAACCATCAAGAAGACATCACCGGTGAACGTGCACCAAAGGTCATCGTAGATTTGAAGACATCCGTCATGAAACCAGTTCATGCCCAGTGGATAGTTTCAACACACCAGATCATGTCCACCCGTACCGACCTAATCAAGTCTGGCTTCCGTAAAGCAGGTTTATTGTAAATTTGACATTAGAACATTTTATCTAGTGCTTTGTTTCGTACTGAGTGACATTGTATGTATGTGAACTAAAGTCTTGTTAAAGATTGTTAAAAGTATGTGTGCAAATGTGTTGTTATGTGTATTTGAGCGGTTATATAATTTCAATTAATTTATTATATGTACTTGTATGTAATGTTTGTTAAAATGTTTAAATGAAAGTGGAATACTAGTATATGAATAAATGTAATCAAAATACTTTTCTATTTTATTTAAAACACGTGTTTTGTTACCATGTTTGTCCCGAATCAACACTACACTAGTATTGCAAAAGATAACCGGAAGTAAACATCCGATTCATTTCAAATTTGTTGGGATTATTGTTCGTTGAATTCTTAAATTCGTGGTTTGCTGTGTCCCACGAAAACCACGAAAATGGGTATACCACGAATAAAAATGAATCCACAGTATCTGAAAAACGAACCTAATCAGGTAATTTTAACCTTGATCACTGATCCATTTAATGAGGTTGAGGTCAGGTGAACCCTGTCTGATGGACATTTAGACATTGCAAGGAACCCATATACCAAATATGGTTATCCTATTACTCATAATAAGTGAGAAATTCACATGAAAAAAAAAACTGTAATTTTTTTTTCAGGCAGTTGTTAAACCATGAAAATGTGGTCAAGAACAATGGACACATGACAGACGGAAACTTCATAACATAAGGTATCTGCATATCGCTGGATAGTAATCCCAATGTCTCACATACTGCGACTTTCGTCTCAGGCGCGACAAACAAAAAATATCTTTTAAAACTTTTCAACATCAGTTTTCTAAAACCGTTTTGGAAAGACAAGTAGATTTAAATTGTTCTGCATATATATCATATTGTGATTTGGCACAGGTTTTGAATGGCTACAGTGGTCAGCTAATTATCATAAAATTTTGATAAATATCATAAGGAAAATGATTTAGCCAGTAAGGGTAGCAAACAAGAACACAGATTTAAAATTGTGTTGCGCAGCTTATATTTTTAAATGAAATAAATCGGAAAATCGGAAAATCGAATTGTCAAATAGTTTTTTGTTAACAATATAAACTTGATAAGTATTGGTCAAAGTCATCAATGCTGGGTGTAAAATTATCACACCAAAGCTTAGTTTAGTTCATCGGATGTCAAAAAGCCACAATACTTCAATTTGTAATGGAAGAGCTGAGCTGAGGCTAAGAGAAGACTCATACGTTAAAATTTAGAATTATCTATATCAAAATTTTCTGCTATTAAATTTATAACCAAAGGATCAGTACCTGCTATTACTGTAAAATTATGGAATAATTTATATCAGTCCTTTCTGCTACAAACTCATAACTAAAGGATCAGTTTCATACTATTTGGGAACTTAAAATTTCAGTTATCTGTATGAATAAAAAACCATTTTACTGTGGTAAACTTTGAGACAACCATAAACCTGAATGAACTGAAAACATGCCATAGGATACAAAAACAGAAGTAACTAAGCCACTGTCAGGTCACTCTATTTGTTTTACACATTTGTGTACTCACTTGTGATGCAAAGTGTACACCTTCTACATGCTGATGAAAACCAGCTCCATGACCTTTCATTACCAATGTGATTCCTGTCAATCCTTCCCTGAAATAGTTATATTACCAATGATGAAAATTTTCTACAATTCTATATCTACCTTTGTTATTTCAATTTTAAAGTTGACGTGTTACATATTTATCCCTCATTTAGGGTGGTAAAGGATTATTTTCGTGCAACATAATTGTAATTTTTATTTCTTAGTGTTGTTGTACTTGAAGTTCATTATTCACCATGTTTTGTTCAAATTGTTGAAAAAGCAAAGTGCAAGCTATTTTTTATATTTTCTTTCATCCTGAAATGCCCATTTTATTTTCCATTTGTTTCATCACATACCAACCCTTTTACAACCTCTTCATTTTTACTTAATCCAATGTCAATAAACATTCCACAAATGTAAGTTCACTCATATTTATTTTCATATTGTGAAATTCTTCCAAAATGTTCACTACAACTTAAAACTACATATTCCAATCTGCCTTTTTCAAAGTGTATGACTTATTTTAAATGATTGAGAAATTTGATCTTATAAAATACCTTTTCAATGCCTTCCATATGACATTAATGTGTGGTTTTCCAAGCCAATGGACTCCTCCTACCACCAATACAGTGTTAGTGTTATTCTCTAAAGGTGATGTCCTGTTAATAAAGGATGAAATTGAACTATTTTCCTGATTTTTCATTTTCCCTGAAGGTCTTTTATTAATAGATGTGAAATATATCAGCAAAGATTCAGAGATCTGGATTTATTTTCATTTTTACAATACAGGGAGATAACTCTCTTTTTTTTTTTGGTCAGAGCTAATTAAAATAGAGATCAAAGCAACTTCATTAAAATCCAATTAGAAACCTTATCAAATATTTCAGTAAATGAAAAGAACTTGAGGGTCATTTAAAAATATTTACAACAAATATGCTATTCTTTTTACATACCATTTAATAAGTTGATACACAGCTTTGTCAAATCCTGGTCTATGATTGTTAGGCAACCAGAATTGTGGGTAATATGCAAAACTCATTAAGGTCTGTCGATTGTTAATACTGGTGTAAAGTTTTAAATCATGTGTTTTATCCCAGTCATACAATGTTCCATTTATCTTTTCTAAAATATAGTGCATGATACCACGATTTGTAGAATCTCCAATGAATAAAACTTTCTTTCCAACAAAACATTTCTTCACTTCTGCAGTGCTACGTTTCCTGTGCTGGCATGATGATGGCTGCCATCTTGCTTGTTGCCAATAGCAACTTTCTCTATCTGCACATGAATAACATGGTACTTTCCAGTCAGCTGTAAATGTAAATTATAGTCAAAATTTGACATTAAATTCCTGATTTTACTATTATTTCAATAATGAATGGGTTTTTTTCATGCTTTGGAAATATTTGTAACTTTACAATAATTTTACCTACAGCTAAAAACTTCACCTAAATAGAGTCTTTTCTTTATTAACCTTGAACATGCATTTTCATAGATCTTCTACATCACTCAGTAGTTTAGTCAAAAGATAGGCTAATATGTATGGTATTGGTTTCAGCCAAAAGTTAACTGTTAAAAAGTAATACATACCATCTAAAGAATCTTGATAATTGTTACAATAGGGTTTCTTGTTTGACTCTAAAATAAACTGGTTCCATGTTGTATATTGAGCAGATGGTTGTAATCCACAGTTTTGATCAGGCAGAAACTTCAGTGTACAATCCTACAATTTAAATAAGAGCCATTAAAAAATACATTGGATAACAAATTGTTAAGTGATTCTCTTTAAATTGGCCACTTAGAACCATGATATTGGGAATACCTGGTTAATAATTCTATCTTTTATTACTAAAGTTCTAACAATCAGGTCTCTCTGAAAACCAAAACAATTTTTTTGCAATGAAATAAGTATGTTTCTGGCAAATATAATCTTTGAAATTAATAAAACAGGCATAATGAAATCAATGTGTAAGTACAATACTATATATGCCTTGTAGATGATATTTGTTTTGGGACAGATATTTTCTTTTCAATTCAAGGTCTGACAATAAGTCTACAGTTGGACTGTTTAATAATGCTTTCAGTGCAGTACCAATACAAGGTATGCCTAATAATCTATTAATTAAATGTTTATTTGTTTGTAATTAAGATTTGGTTTTGAAATTTAGCTGTACCAATAAAAATCTGGTAAAAAACAGGATATCACAACCTAATTTTTTGGTGATGTTGTATATAGAGCCCATAAATTTCAATATGACATGTAAACTTATTTATCCTTTGAATACCCTCATTTTAAAAAGTTGTCCATTTACTACAGTAGTCAGCTCTTTGAATGTTGCTTTTTATTGGTACAAACATATATCTAAATAAATAAAACCATAACTAAATATGTATTCCTATACAGCTATTAATACTTTATACGATCCTACATCTTCCTTATATTTCAGCATTGCACAAGGTCTTGGTTTTTTCTCAGATTGTGTATGTCATTTTTACACTAAATCCAATGGATGTGTACTTATTGATATTTTAGTCTGAGAAACATGACTTACTGTAAATTCAGAAATTATTGCGAGGTTAATATTCAAATAATTCGACTCTTTGAGAATCGGAATTATAAGAACTGACTTTCTGATAACGGATACATATGTCTGTATGTAGCTTTCCTTAAATGACAATTAAAGTGGCATTTTTGTTCATTCCTCAAAAATCACAATAATAAATACACACAATAATTGGCTTTGAACTAGTTTACAGTAATAGGTTTTGCTCATTGTTGAAGACTGTACAGTGACCAATAGTTAGTCTCAATGGCAGTCATACCACATGTTCTTATTTTTTGTTAACAACACATTGAAGTTCAGTACTTGGTAGGCCATGTAGTCTAATAAACTACGTTTTTAGTATAGGACTTTGTATGCCCTGTAATGTAAAATTTACCTGTTGAGGACACACGTTTGCAGTACAGTACCAAGAATGGCCTTTAGTGTATAATTTACATGTTTGAGAACACATGTTATCAGTATAGTACTATGTATGCCCTGCAGAATAAAATTTACCTGTTTAAGAACACATGTTTTCAGTACAGTACTAGGAATCCCTGTCTGTCCTCCATATTTTCTATAGACATTGAATGTGTAGGTATTTATTATAACTGGTTTTCTTTTACTAATATCCACTACATGTATCTTAATTAAATTGTCTCCAAGTCCTATTGTGAAGTTACTCCTACTATATAGAAATAAAAGAAAATATTTATTTTTTTTCAAATATAATAGGAGAAAGAAACCCAAAGAAAAATGTGAGTTAAATACAAACAATTGTTTGAATAGAATAATGTAATTGTTTCTTTTTTTATTAAATACATGTATCACATTGGAAAGATTCAATTTTGAAATTACTGCCTTTTGTCCATTGCAACATTTGTGGAACTCTTTTATACTGGAGCACAAAAAGCCTACTTTTCTATGTCAATGCTACCATTCATATTTTCATGATTTCATAACAGTGTAATCAGATAAGATTTTTGTTACTTTAAATTTGTGTTATATATTAATGGCCATCTATATTTGGTCAAGGAATTTTTTATGTATGTAACAAAATCAATCCGTGGTTGTGAGCATTTACTGACAATTTCCACAATTGCAACATTCTTCCAAAGTTAGGGCTCAATTATGATCAGCTGACTGTGATATTAACATGGCTATGGAATTGCCGCTCTGTTTCCTCTGCTTAATATTTTTGTTCGAGGTTAAAACTAAACCTATTTTTTTGGTTTGACTCTTTTGGTATGCTAATTGTTTTTTGACAAAAATTATCCTGACTTTCAAGTCCTAAATTAATACTTGTTTTGTATGAACCTCATACCACAAGTTATGTAGTGACCCAAAGGCAAAATACAGGAAATATGTGAGTAAACTTGTTTTAAATGAGTTCAGTGATGATTTTTGGGCACCAAAAATATTCTGTAAATTTTTTTAAACTTTAATTGGTTCTTCTGTAACATGTGACTATATACCTGACTAAACCACTTATGTTGTCAAATCTAGCTTCAGTTTTACTGTCTTTAGTTCTGACATCAAAATGTAACATTATGATGTTGTAGTTCACTGTAATGTTATAATTCATCTTGTATGGGTCAAGGTGAAGGTCAATTGTTGGATATACTTCCAGATGACTTAGTAATGTTGCACCTTCCTCATCTGTAAGGAAAATATGATGATTTCATTCATATCATATACACCATAATTGTATCTGAAGAATGATATTACTGTGGATTCATATATTTTCATGGATACCAATTTTTCGTTGATTGAGGAAAACTTTATTTTTTCGTAGCCGTAGGTACTTGATTTTGTGGTTTGCCAAAGTCTGCATGCAACATATAGAAAATGTGTACTTCATTGAGCATCTAAATTTGAGGTTTACCTTTATCTACCAAATCCACGAAAAATTGGTTTCCCACGAATAATGATGAATCCACAGTATCGGAAATTATGTATTTTTGGAATGAGACTATTTTTTTATTGACAGAAAAGTTTTCTATAGTTCTTTCCAAACATTAAGCACCAATTCATTATTTATTGAGACAACTCATCTGAACAAAATAAAGGAATATAACAAATTTGTACTTACAAATCACCACAATACAACTAATATTAATGAGGGTAGTGAAGGGGGAGTATGTGAATGGATGACACTGATTATAAAATGGTTAATTCATGATGAACGAAAAAATAGAAAATACCTTGCATGTTGCTTTTTCACCAATTTGTATGAAACACAGTGAATAATAAGTTTAAAGCACAAAAACATGTGAAATTAAAATTGCAAACATGTTGCCTGAAAATAGCCAATTAACAGCCTCATTAATGAGCTCAGTTGTCTCATATGTATTGATTGCGATTATTTATGGCGGTTAATTTTAAATGTTTACTCAACTGTTTGTTTTGAAACTTAATGTCTTACACCCTATATTTTCTAGAAATTGTTTTAACAGTTTTGATTGTGTGCAGTCTACCAGTACATATTATATCTTTATATGGTCTAATTTTATCACTACAACATAATTACTTTTGTTAGTCTAACTTTTGACTATTTTATAAATCAAACACCTATGATTTAACTTTTTAAAAGAAAATAAATGATTTGTGCTTCAAATGGCTGCGGATTGAAAATAAGCACTTGATTAAATGTAGTATTCTTCTAGTATTTTTAAGTTATAGATTCAAATGTCTGCTAACATGATTAAGTAGCCTTTGCTAGTGTTTCTGTCCCAAGTCTGGGAAACTTGTCAGTGGTTGTCATTGCTTATATCTTGGTTTTATTTTACCTTTAAAGAACGACAATGACCTTTGAAGGTCTTCTCAGGTTATTTGTATCTAAAGGTTGAAATCATATTGACATATACCCTGAGCATATACCCCACATCTTTATTTGTTAATTCACTTACCAGATAATGTGTAGTCTTTCTGATCACTACTCTTTAGATGTCTGCGGAAGTTTGAGCTTGGAACCCTGCAAATAAATTTATTCTTAAGTCATTTGATTAAAGCACTGTGATCTGTGATTAAATCTTCTATCAAAGAAATTTCTCTTAAAGTCTAAGGGCTGTAATTCTTTGAAAAGGGGGTCATTGGAAGGGGAATATGAACTTGATCTGTAACTCAACATTATACACTTATCAATCAAAATCAGATTGTAAAGGCATAATGGAAAAAATCTGGACAGGAGTTAGATATCAGGTAGAACAAGCATTCTGAGAGTATTGCATGGCAATACATAGTCCCCTACCGGTTAAAAAATCATTGTATTGGAACAAAATGCTAACTTGATCTATAACTTTTCATGGTGTAAACTATATAACAATTATCAAGTCAAAAAAAAAGTTGAAAACTGATTATTTAAGTGAATTTTCTAAGTCCAAGGACCATAACTCTGCACAAAATCATCAGATCAAAACTAAATTCGAACTTGATCTGTTACTTGTCACTATAAAACTATATACCAATTATCAAATCAATATCTTCAAGCATGACGAAAGAAAGTGCGGAAAACTGATTATTTGAGTGAATTTTCTAAGTCCTAGGACCATAACACTAAACAAAATCATCAGACCGGAACAAAGTTCGAACTTGATCTGTAACTTGTCATGATAAAACAATACACCAAATATCAAATCAATATCTTCAAGCACTTCGTCGGTAGGGGACTAATAAAGGTTGAAATGACAGAAGCAGGGAAATCTATATTTGCCATAGCCACAAAGTGGCATGGTTATACTAAATATTACTTACAAGTTTGATCTGAGTAAATCTTCCTCAACATAATCCACTTCTGCAGATAAGTGACTCTCCACTTGATGAAGGAGAGAGTGTATGTCTGCTGTAGAATGGAACTCTGGGATACGATGTTCCTTGATCTGTTGATTAAGTGTGTGTAGAGATCTTTCATTCATCCAGATCTGCTGAAGTCTGATGAGATCTGATGTGTAATCATCTGACAGTGAAGGATACACCTGAAAATAGAAATAATATTTAATTTAACTTAAATTGTTCAACTTTGTCAAGCTAAGATAGGGTAAAACAAAGGGATTCAATAAGCAATGCATCCATGATTATAAACGCATTAAAAAATTCATAATTTATACATATAGTAGACTTTGTCTGCACAAATATGTCCATCATTAATCCAGGTATTTTCAGTCATATCCAAATACTGAAAATCCGAGTTCAAACTAAATTTGGAATTTTCAATATCAGAATTATGATTCAAAACACAAAACCAAGCTCTATGACAATGCTGACTGCTAATTTCATTCATTCAGCATAGAGTAAACAAAATAGGCTGACTATATAATCCCCACAATAAACTTTATGTGTCCAAGCCTTTATGGGAATAATCAGATTTTTTTATGCCCCCACCCATGGCTTCCAAAACAGTCATATATTCCGGACATTTATAAATTTACCGGACATTGTCCGTCTGGGAAAAGCATGAAACGGACATCTACTTTTAGTTTTCAAGGCTTTCAGAATCTTAAGAGACGGTCAATACATTTTAACATAATTTAAAAAGTTTATGCGATCTTTTTGACCCGACCTTTTGCCTTTAAACAGCCACACATTTCCGGTTATCAGAAATACGTTTATAAATATGATTTGATGAAAAATTTAAAAAGGTTTAAAACGAAAAAGCATCAGAACCACGTTGTTTGAACCAGTACACGTGTGCGCATGTGCGCAGGTGGGAAATTTAATTATGCATTCCTATTCTTCAAAAACGTTAACATTATCATTGATACCTTTATCTAACGTTCATTTCGAGTATTTTCTTGAAGAAATAATGGAAAGAGCTACTTAAACTCAATCATGCTTTGTAAACGTACACGGATTTTACGTATCCGTCTCTGGTTCATGTTTTACCATTGTCAAGTCAACATCAGGTAATAGGAAAATGTGCTTTTTAAAAACAAAGTCAAGTTTTTGACAACGTTATTTTGCACCAACAAAGAGACTAAGGCAGATATTAGTACGCTGATGTTGCACACTTCAAATGATGCACTGTCAATCTGACAGATTACGTCAGAACATCGAATTTATATCAAAGTAAAGTTTAATATCGTTTTTTTTAATGTCAATCATTGGTTATATGATGGCCAACTGATTACTATAATTGCCTTTTGTTACTAAGTCTTAAGGGATTAAAATCGAGATCAGACATAAAATGTCCGGCTGGCTCAAATATTTTTTGGAAGCCTTGGCCCCACCTAGGGGCATTATGTTTTTCGGTCTGTGCGTCCGTTCGTTCGTCTGTCTGTTAGTCCGTCTGTCCCACTTCAGGTTAAAGTTTTTGGTCAAGGTAGTTTTTGATGAAGTTGAAGTCCAATCAACTTGAAACTTAGTACACATGTTCCCTATGATAAGTTCTTTCTAATTGTAATGCCATATTAGAGTTTTGACCCCAATTTCACGGTCCACTGAACATAGAAAATGATAGTATGAGTGGGGCATCCGTGTACTATGGACACATTCTTGTTTAAATTCTAAATTGATAAAAAAAATTCAATTTTTATATAATCATCCAGTGAATAATTAATATTTTTTTTTATCTATATAGGCTGCTACCTTAATAAACTGTCCTAATTTTTGAATCTCTTGTGCACTTTTCAGAAGATAAATCAGATCAGAATCCAGTAAACACACACCATAACCATTCCTGCATTTCTGTAAAAGAAACCAGTATGAAAAATAAACAGAATCATTAAATATTTTGTTAATATTGATGTCAGAGAAGGTTTGTTATTCTTAAAGATATCATTTTGGCAATGTAATGGAACATGTTTTTTTTTTAAGAAAGAACAGAGCTCTAACATTAATGCTGTTCAAGACAAAAAAAAATATGACTATGTATTTATTAAAAGTTTGAAAAGAAGTGAATATCTGTTGATTCTTACAACAGAAAATCTAGGTTTCCTGTGAAAAAAGCCATATGTTAAAGAGTTATGGAAAATTCCATTTAACATGGTACCAAGTAAGTCAGATCATGTGTGAGAGTGATGGTTTGGAAAGAAGCCATTACACATGCTGTGGATTCATTACTATTCCTTGGGTACTAAATTTAGTGGATTTAGTGGGTATTTGTGTTAAACTTTAAGTGTTAACTATTTAAGTGTTGAACAAAGTTTTTCTATAGGCTTGTATGCAGAATTTGTCAAACCCACATATCAAGAATCAACTAAAATACAATTTTTCCTCAATACACAAAAAATTGACAATGACAAATATAAATGAATACTCAGTATACAAGTTTACCAGAAGGACAGAGAAATTGAACAAAATGTTACTATCAGTGGGTACCTGAAACGATTTAGAGACTCAGCTATTGGATTTTATGAAACGGAGATAACTATGATTTGTAGAAAACATCTCTAGAGATGAGTTAATTTCTTAAATATGTTTTTTCTATTATTTACATATCAGCTATCTGTACATCACAGCCATACCAGTTTTACAATTTTACATAATGTTAGATACTGTCCAAATTCACTTTATATATTCTTTCAATCTTTGTTTTAGGAACATCAACAACATACCTGCCGATCCAGTATAATATCCCTGCCACTTTCACCAAGAGCAACAGCTACATCCGTTCCAACTGTTTCCTTGGTAATCATTAGTGAAACAGTATCTTTTACTATATCAAAACTGTCACTCTGAGGCAAAAGGTTCACCTACAAAGATATTAAAACATAGTAGTATTTATATAAGATTATGAAAATTCTAAATGAGTACTAACTGATATATGTAAGTAGTTGATGTACTATTTTGTTTGCAATATATTTTTAGTGATATCGTTGTTTTACTATGTTCTTGTAGAACTGTTCTTTAATAAGTTTTTATATTGTTGGAATAAAATTTGTATACACATCTACAAAAGGTCATGTTAGTCTGACACAGCATACGACTGTTTTGGTATCTTATGATGTAAGACCGCGAATACATGTCTCATGTGATTTCAAATACATACGCATAGTTTCGGTCAACCAAGTCCCAAACGTAACCGTACTTCTTGTGTTTCGGTAAATCAACTACTATGTATTCACTGTTATTCGTGGCATACCAATTTTCGAGGATTTTGTGGATAAAGGTGTACCACAAATTGAAATATTTAAGGAAATGCAAATTTCCTAGAAGCTTGTAGAGAGAATTTGTGAAAACTACCAAATTGAGAATCCACAAAAATACAATTATTCCTGAATCCATGAAAATCGGTATTCACAAAAAACAGTTAAATCCAAAGTAATCCTTCTGTAACTACAGTCATCAAACTTTTTTATAATCTATTCCGTTTTAACATTTTAACCATGTAGAATTTAACGAAGACATTAATTTAGATACCACTGATAAAAAATTCATAGACAAAAAATAGTTGTGTGCTTTTTAAAAACTTTCTAGACTATGTAAAAATTGTATACAAACCTTTAATATGATTGGATGGAAATTTGATGTGAAAATCACATGGTACTGTAATAACTGTGTGTACTGGTTATATCTACGAATAAAAAAATTGAAGTCAATGATATTGCTGATTTACAAACTTAGAAAAACAAAGACATATATAACATTTCGTAGTATTTTGCACAAAAAAACTGAGGCATTGGCAAATTTGAAAAATTCCAAACAATCTGAATATTAATTTAAAGGGGGGTCGAGAAATCACAAAATTTTTTTTAGCTATCATTTTTTATTGTCTGACACAACTATATATAAACTATTTTGTGATTTTTGTTGAGCTATATATGTTAAGTATGATCTTTACAATTAACATTGATCTTTAATACTGTAAACAGGGAAATTTTCGCAGCATTTTTATTTTCGCGGTAAGAGTTGAAACGCGAAAATAAAACGACTGCGAATATTTCAAGTAAATCCGAACACGAATATGAAGACCATACATGAACGTATTTCAATAGGATATGTAGATGGCTAATTTAAAACATCGGTTTTACAGACGACAGATCTATACCGCAAAACATAACTTTATTTCTGAAGGAAAGTCAGTGTTAGATATCAAAACTTTATCTCATGATAGTCCTAATTAATCCAAGTGGACATTACGGATATTGCTAAATAAACAACTATCGTTACAGTTATGTAAATGACACCTGTCAATCAGTTTTAAAATGATTACCCATTGTATCTGTTGCACAGATCAATCAGATTAAAATATTAACTAATAAACAGTAATTCTGTCAGCATTTAATTCACTCTTAATTAGGTTATTTTTCTTTGTTTATTGTGATTGTGTTTGTACAAGCAAACATGACTAATAGTTTTAAATGTGAACCGACAAAAAGGAATTTTGATTGGTTTTATCACTTGATTTAAATACATTTATTAACACTGTACAGTTTCCAAATCATTAATAAAAAAAACTTATATAGGACACCGACCGGGACATCGCGAATTCAAAACGGCGCGAATCTAGATTTTGTTGGTAAATCCCGAAAAAAAGACGGCGCGAAAATTTCCCGGTTTACAGTAGCTGAAATATGTTTTATCATTTTTAATGATATAATGAAAAAAAAGTCACTTGTAATTAATACAAAAATGGAAATAGTTTAAATTGTGTCATGTAACACTTCTTGCATTCCCCTTAAGCTGAATATTTTTAAACATAAAACATGCCTATAGAACCAACCCAAAATGACACAATTTTATACACAACAACTTACATGTAATTGTACTGTAGATTCAGTTTCAATGCTAAATTTTCTGATGTCAGTAAACTAACAAAAATAGACTGCTTCAGGTTTTTCCACCAAATGGCCTCTGAAGTTTCACCGAAACTATCTGATATGTATGTCTAAAAATATCATGTGAAATATCAATAATTCAGGAATCTTAACTTTAAATGACCTACAAATTTGTAAAAAATACAATGATAATGTCATGCAAAATTATTTCTCCTGACTTTGTCCATAATGTCTTGCAAATTATCTCCTCTGACTTTGTCCATACAATTCTAATGTCTTGCAAATTATCTCCCCTGACTTTGTCCATACAATCATAATGTCTTGCAAATTATCTCCCTTGACTTTGTCCTTAAAATCATGATGTCTTGCAAATTATCTCCCCTGACTTTGTCCATACAATCATGTCTTGCAAATTATCTCCCCTGACATCATAAAATGCAGTTTTGGAAAATTATTAATGTAAAACATTTTGTTTACTGTTATGAATGAAGAATTGATTCTAATAGAATAATTAATAATTTATAAATGATGCAATCTAATTAAATTCCATACCAAATTCAGATTTTCTTTTGAAGAAAGATCATTGAATTTAATTAGGCTGGTGCTGAGAATTCAATGGTTAACAATTCCATTAGTTCGAGTCTGTTTAACCACATAAGATTTAAGTTTAAGCACATCAGTCACATGATGACATCAGTAGTTAGAGATCAACACAATATCAACTTATCCATAGTGACACCTTACTGTAAGTTTTTATCGAAGTGAGGGAATCAAAATATATATATGTGGTCAAATATTTTAAGTGGAAATCTATTAAAATAATTTTAATTGCTTGATAAGTCTGTGAAGAAAACTAGTTCATAGAAAAATGTCACATGCTATGAATTTTCCAAACCACATTTGAAAGGATCTTTCCTGGAACTCTCCTATTGTGAAAAAAAGATTATTTTCAACTACCCAGTAAAAAAAAATCTTTACAATCCTAATAGTAATTCATTAAACATGTCTACGAAATAACATACCTTAATTTTTTCCAGTTCATTTCCAGAGTAGATGTATAGTCTTACAGGAAACATGGCTGCCACATATACTTTTAGTTGCATATGGATGATAGTACCATTCTTCTTCAATAAACTGTTGTCACTATGCCAAAGTCTACCTTTGTACCTAGAAAATAATCATCCAAATACTTTAAGAGATGTCAAACAATGTTGTTGTCTGTCCATTGCTTAATGCCTTATAAATGACCTGTAGATGGCAATTTTGGGTAATTGAAATGTTTTCCACTGTTTGATATATAGATTCTAGAACTGAATTAAATGATATATGATATTTCTCAATTTGAAACAGTTATGCGTTTAAATTTTGAAGCATTTCCTTTTTACTGGGTTCTTTCTCTGAGGCATCATCAGGCTTGGTGACCATTTCCATGAGATTACAATAGCAAAATCAAAGCACTGTAACAAAATATCTCATAACTTTATATTTATTTTTTTAAGTAAAACTGAGAACAAGTGAACCATATGTTGACTTCTGGATGTATTTGTTTTTGTGTTGTTGGGTTACTGTCTGATTTACCCCACATCTCCTTTTTTTCACATGTTTACTATCAAAACATAATTATCCTGGTAGGGAAGTTGAAATTCCCTTACTGTGAATTCATTTATTTTCGTTTTTCGTGGGTACCAATTTTTGCAGACTGAGGAAAACTTATATTTTCGAGGATATATGATATACAAACAAGCCTATGGAAAATGTGAACTTCATTAAACATTTAAATTCATGGGTTACTTATACCAATACCAATGAAATCATAGAAAAATGGTTTCAAAAGAAAAATAATAAATCCACAGTATTTAAACCTACCTCGCATCTCTTAAATCTGTTCCATGTTTGGTCTGAATTCCTTTCTGTTCATCGTACAATAAATAACTAGACTGGAGTTCCATGTTGTTTTCTAAGGCTGGTTGTTTGTCATAGCATGTTGTATTATGACTCTCTGCAATACAATAATCTTCAATGAGAAACTGTCTTGTAAATATTTTGCTCTGTACTACACTTTTGTGCAGAAATACTCAAGTTCATTTAAAGAAAATTACTAGTAAAAAGATTAAATTTCCAGCATCATGGGACTTTCAGCATGATTGAATTTAGCTGACATTAACATGATTACTCCATCATGGGACTTTCAGCATGATTGCATTTAGTTGCCATCAACAGTTTATTTAATATGTGTGCAAAGCTATAACTATGACTTTGAGCTCCAATAATGAGTTGATGTTCCAAGTATCAAATAGCCTGATTCCATATTCATCCTCAATACCCAATAACTTTAAGACAAAAACCACTTCTGGGGACATGCATTCATTCTTAAGTTGAAGGAATTTTAAGCTGATTTGATTTGTAAAGGTTCAAAATGTTACCATGAATCTTGTTCAAATAAGCTATGACTTACGTTTTGTCTTTCTAAGTTTTAGTTGATTATCCCTAAAAGACTGCCATACGAGTCATATTAGTTAAACACATCTTCACCTTGGAATGTGCTTGTTCTAAGTGAATAATATGTCAATAATTTTTCATGTATTCTATTGGTTGATTTTTCAAGTGTTCAGTCAGTTTTTTTACATTTCAAATGTTCCATTCCCTTTTTTACCATTGTTTTTTAATTACCTTATTTTGAGAACATTTGTTAAACCATTTATTCTTCTGTATAGTTTATAAATACCTGTAACTTTACTATAGACTGTATGTAGGTAACAGATATATTCTGGCTGTTTGATAACTTGATGTAGGACTGGTATGTGGTTGTACTGAAAGATAGGAAAGCAAACATACAATGAAGCAGACTACTATGTCCAATATTTGACAGTACTAAATGATATCAAGATAATTATGATTAAGCAGAAATTATATTTATACCCGTGTCTTTTTGTTTGTTATCATTAATTTGTAAAAAAGAATTTCATTTTGGCAATTAAAAAGACACTTTCTGATTCTTTGATTTTTAGGGGAAAGTTCTCTCATTGGCTATCATACCACAATTTCTTAATTCTGATTTTTTTTTTAATAAAAATAGAAATATCTTAAGGACAATTTTCCTATGATTACAACTAAGTTTAAAAATTCTTAAGAGAAAATTAGCAGTTAAATATTTTCAATACCATGATTGATTTTTTTTAACAAGAATCTTTTAAAGGGGAGTTAAATATTTTCAATACCATGGTTGAAATTTTTTTTAATAAGAATCTTTTATAGCGGTGAGGTATAAATAAGTATCTGAATGCTTGTGACAAGTTGTCATAAACAATAAATGTAAGGACTCTCTGTTCTTACCTTGGTATAGACATCATGTCTATTTTCTATATCAGTTTTACTTGCCGTCCATACTACAGACCAGTTTCCTTTTGTATCTAGAAAACAAATATCAAATAAGCTATTATCATTTTATAAAAATTATCTTCAAAGACAAAGAACACCCTGAACTGATTGCACTATCACATTTCCATTTTCAGTGAACCATGAAATAGGGGCTAATCCCTTAAGTTGGCAAATAATTACATATTTCACATCACAATGAACATTTGTACTAAGATTCAAGTTGATGTGACCACAACTTCATAGTGTGCTTTATTTTTGTTGTATTCATTGTAGGCATTCAAGAGTATTTCACAGACTATTAGGGAACTGTTATATATTTGGGCAATTAAAACAGACTTTGTTCTTTGTCTTTTCAATGGCAGTGGTACCACTTCATTTTTATATGACATACCAGTAATTTTTTTATTTACATTTTAAGAATTGCTGCATAATGAAAACAAGGAGCTGACTTGTTACTCGTGATTTCACTCAATTTTTCTCTACTTTTGGAGAATCCCAAGATATTTAGTGGAATGCAACATCCTTTTTCACATCATTAATGAAAAAGATTCGAACAAACTGTAATAGAGAGAAAAGCTACCATGAGTCATTCCAGCAATTTGAATCGATGAAAAGTGATATTTAATTGAATTAATTATCATTGGACATTAGAAATAAACATAAGCTTTTTTAATACATACCAGTTGTTTCATCTTTTGTAAACACTGTATAATTATGTTTAGAGAACACATCCTTTATAAATTGTGTTTGGTTTTTAGTCAGACCTAATGTCAGTACAGTTCTGTATGCAGATATACTCTGTAGTCTGCTTTCAATCTGGAAAAAAGACAATCATGAATTGCTAATTGGTATAATTACATGAAGCTTGACATCAACCAATAAAAAAAACAGTACAGCAATTGGACTTCTATTTTTATGGTAGAAATAATCACATTAATTGAATCATCATTATCAATAAGAGTTAGTAGAGTAAATAGCCTGTGTAATTGATTCTGACTATGAGATCAAGGTCAAATTTCATGCATCAAACCTTTTAGAGACATTGACATCATTTATCCAACTATAGACTTTATATAGAAATTAAATCAAATTCTATAATAATGTAGAAACTGACCTAATCACTAAACATTTATAAACCACAAATTAGGAAACTTAGTCTATAAAGCAAGGAGGTTGTATTCAGAATAGAAACTCCATGCTTGTAGTAACAAGAAACTTATATACTGGTAATCGGTAAATACAACTTTCATCAATGTATGAATAAACTATATTACAAGGTCAATGTTAGATGAAGCCTGACAGACAGACAGACAGCTAAGTGTATCTACAATAATTCTATGGACATGATAGATCTCATGAAAAAAAATCACCCAATAATGAAAAATTTACATTAATCAATGAATTTTGAAAACAAAAAAACTTAATTACTGCTATACATAATTTCATGCTTGCATCTCAGCTGAAAATTGACAAATCAGATAATTAGATTGTGTTTATCTATTTGAATATTGGAGACTTGAAGCGAGGACAAATCCTCGGGTTTTACCATATATAATAATAAATACAAATTTAAAAATTAATTTATTTTTTTGTTGAATCACTAAAATTCAATTTGAGATGGATTTTGCAAATCTCCTGATCATATTTAATAGACATTGGTTTAAAATATCTTTGTGATGTCTTTTACCATTTTGTTTTAAATCGGAGTTAAGCATTGTGAATTTCCAGAGAAACCAAGAGAATCTCATCTCCTAGAAATTTAAAGTGCCAGGATGTTCGAAAATATGTTAAAGGTTTAATTTGGACTAATATATTGTGATATTACCACTGGACAGACACAAGTCAAGTTCTTATCTTTTCCTTTCTTAACCCCATTAACAAATACACTGCTATAAAAGTAACTGTCATTATTTTTAACTGCTTTACACTAAAAAAAGACAAGTTCACATGACTTTTAGTCTCATTCATAAAGACAATGTGGGGTATAAGTCAATGAGACAGCAATATAAAAATATGCTTTAAGGGGTTAAAATAGAATCCTATCAGATTTGACACCACAGTTAACATAGAAATGACAATTGACTTTTTACATCATGTTTAAAAAATTCATACATTTTATTATTTATATGTAAGTAAAAATGTTTTGTTTATGAGTTGTAATAAAGATAAATGGTCTATTATAATCCCCCCAAGGTCAAAACATAAAAACAAGAAGCAGGGTCACTTAGATTAATTGATTATCATCCCCCTGTAGACAAACACAATGACATATATAAATTATCTGGAAGCAGTTAGTAATTAAATCTAACATATGTCTTCATCAACTGTAATAAATAACACAAGAAAAAAAGCACCTGTTGGTATACCTACATCCATTTATGTGGTGCTAAATATTGGCTTCATTTCATCAACAATAAACCAGTATTTTCAAACATATGCCATCTAGATAAATTAGTAGATGTAGACTCAAAAAATCTTGAAATGTTTGAATAAGCTCAGTTCCAGTGTCAAGTTCAAAGGTGACAGTTATGATTTTTCTACTCTTTATGGAGCACTACCACTGTTCCACATCTTATCAAACAAAATTTTCCATTGAAAGTTTTTTAATTAATCTAGGCATTTCTATATCTCAATTCCTTTGTAGGGGGAAAAACAAATAAATACTAAAAACACATTAATTAGACGAGAGACAAATAATGAGTCTCTGAATAGACATACACACAAATGATTTAAGCTATAAGTATTTGTATGAAAATATTTTTTCATTCCTAAAGAAAAAAATATACAGTTAAAATGGTATTCTTATGGGGACTAACTGTGCACCTCTTTTATCACATAATTATTTCCCGACTTATATAATATATATCAAAGTTTATGACTAAACCCATATAGACTTAAAGTTGTCCTAAACAGATATTGTCAGCATTACTCCATCTTAACCAACTTCTTCTAATGTGAAATATGCCTTTGTTAGACCTTAATATCATAATTGTTAATTCCTCTCAGTGTGTACCTTTACTTTTTCCAATAATTTTATTAAAAAATTCGTAAGGGTTCCACGGAACCCAGTGTCTCGCCTATTTTTGCTGTTAATCGCAGGCTCAACAAAAATGAGGGAAAAAAAATTAAAATATTCCTCTCGATACTATCTTTTGATTGTAAGAAGCTTCTGTCCAAGTTTAGGAAAAAATCCAGGATGGTTTATGAATCTAATAAATGTTTTAAAAACTTTAACTGCAGACTGTATGTAATGTTAACTGGCAGAAAAACTAAGTCCATTCATAAGTTAAATACGGAAAAAATAGAATTTTTTTTTTACAAAATTTACTTCTGGATACTATCTTATGATCATAAACAAGCTTCTGTCCAAGTTTGGTATAAATCCAGGATAGTTTAAGAAAGTTATTAAAATTTAAACAAGAGTGCACACGCTGAAATGTCTCGCCTTCTTTACTAATCATTGATATTATGTTGATAGTCCTAAATATAAAGCTTTACTACAACTATCACATACACTTAACATGATCCAAGAAAATGAGGTCAAGGTCATATAAACCAAACAAGAAATGCATGTACACCTTACAATCATTCAATACACTAAATATAGTTGACCTATTGTTTATAGTTTCTAAGATACAGACTTAACCAAGAAAACTAAACATTGACCAATGAACCAAGAAAATGAGGTCAAGGTCAGATGAACAATGCCAGGCAGACATGTACTACAGCTTGCAATCCTTCCATACAACAAATATAGTTGACCTATTGCTTATAGTATTAGAAAAACAGACCAAAACACAAAAACTGAACACTGAGCAATGAACCCTGAAAATGAGGTCAAGGTCAAATAAAACCTGCAAGACTGACAGGTACATCATAAAATATTTCCATACACCAAATATAGATGACCTATTGCATATAGTATTAGAAAAAAAGACCAAAACTCAAAAACTTAACTTTGACCACTGAACCATGAAAATGAGGTCAAGGTCAGATGACACCTGCCAGCTAGACATGTACACCTTACAATCATTCCATACACCAAATATAGTAGACCTATGGCATACAGTATAAGAAAAACAGACCAAAACACAAAAACTTAACTATAACCACTGAACCATGAAAATGAGGTCAAGGTCAGATGACACCTGCCAGTTGGACATGTACACCTTACAGTCCTTCCATACACCGAATATACTAGACCTATTGCTTATAGTATCTGAGATATGGACTTGACCACCAAAACTTAACCTTGTTCATTGATCCATGAAATGAGGTCGAGGTCAAGTGAAAACTGTGTGACGGGCATGAGGACCTTGCAAGGTACGCACATACCAAATATAGTTGAACTATTGCATATAGTATTAGAAAAAAAGACCAAAACTCAAAAACTTAACTTTGACCACTGAACCATGAAAATGAGGTCAAGGTCAGATGACACCTGCCCGCTAGACATGTACACCTTACAATCATTCCATACACCAAATATAGTAGACCTATGGCATACAGTATAAGAAAAACAGACTAAAACACAAAAACTTAACTATAACCACTGAACCATGAAAATGAGGTCAAGGTCAGATGACACCTGCCAGTTGGACATGTACACCTTACAGTCCTTCCATACACCGAATATACTAGACCTATTGCTTATAGTATCTGAGATATGGACTTGACCACCAAAACTTAACCTTGTTCACTGATCCATGAAATGAGGTCGAGGTCAAGTGAAAACTGTCTGACGGGCATGAGGACCTTGCAAGGTACACACATACCAAATATAGTTATCCTATTACTTATAATAAGAGAGAATCTAACATTACAAAAAATCTTAACTTTTTTTTCAAGCAGTCACTGAACCATGAAAACGAGGTCAAGGACATTGGACATGTGACTGACGGAAACTTCGTAACATGAGGCATCCATATACAAAGTATGAAGCATCTAGACCTTCCACCTTCTAAAATATAAAGCTTTTAAGAAGTTAGCTAACGCCGCCGCCGCCGTAGCCGCCGCCGCCGCCGCCGCCGCCGCCGCCGCCGGATCACTATCCCTATGTCGAGCTTTCTGCGACAAAAGTCGCAGGCTCGACAAAAAACTTTAACCACAGAGTGAATGTAATGTTTCCTGGCAGAAAAAACTAAGTCCATTCATAAGTTAAATACGGAAAAAATGGAATTTTTTTTTTACAAAATTTACTTCTGGATACTATCTTATGATCATAAACAAGCTTCTGTCCAAGTTTGGTACAAATCCAGGATAGTTTAAGAAAGTTATTAAAATTTAAAAAACTTTAACCACAGAGTGAATGTAATGTTTCCTGGCAGAAAAACTAAGTCCATCTATAAGTTAAATACGGAAAAAATGGAATTTTTTTTTTACAAAATTTACTTCTGGATACTATCTTATGATCATAAACAAGCTTCTGTCCTAGTTTGGTAGAAATCCAGGTTAGTTTAAGAATATTAAAATTTCAAAAACTTTAACCACAGAGTGAATATTTGTGGCCGCCGCTGACGCCGCCGCCGACGGAATGTAGGATCGCTATGTCTTGCTTTTTCGACAAAAGTCGAAGGCTCGACAAAAATGGGAGATGATTTAGTTTATCAGTTTAACCCAATTACATTCTAATGACCCTGTCTTAACAGTCTTTATTCATATTGGTTGTTTTCTTTCAAATCTTTGAAGTCAGCATTCTGCATAAATTTACATAAATTTCATATGTCAGACTAAATCCACTTCACCTTCCACTAGTTATTTAAGATTTGTGTTGTCAACATTGAACCTAATAGTTTATACAAAGAGCAGCAATTTTG